TATATAAAGGTCATAGTCCAGTCCTCAGTGATATGCATTTAAATCCAATTATTTCCATGGATTTAAATGAATTTGAGTCTGTATTGGAATGTGGCCAAATAAGGGAGTTCCTTGTAATCTATTTCTATTTCATTAGGCATAACTTTCTACAACTTGTAAGCGGAATGGAATGCTTTGATTTTTTTTTAAAAAAACACTCTGATTGGCTAATGCATTGGTCTTTGCTCAATTAAACTGAAACTGTTTTAATTCCTGCAAAAAGCAATTGTTGGGAAATACAAAATACAAGATATTTAGTGTTATCTTGTTACAGTAATTATAATCGTGCCACTGTATTTTGTGGGGATCATGGATCACTGCCTTGTCGTGGCGAGGGGACTTGCGTGGTTCGATGAGGCTGTGGGCTAAGCCGTGGAGGGCCACCCAAGACGGACAGGCCACAGCAGAGAACTCAGACCAAGCGTGATCCCCTGGAGAAGGAAATGGCAACCCACTCCAGTATTTTTGCCAAGAAAACCCCATGAACAGTATCAAAAGGCTAAAAGATATGACGCCGGAAGATGAGCCCCTCAGGTCGGAAGGTGTCCAATATGCTACTGGGGAAGAGCAGAGGGCAAGTACAAGTAACCCCAGTAAGAGTGAAGTGGCTGGGCCAAAGCTGAAAGGACGCTCAGTTGTGGATGTGTCTGATGGTGAAAGGAAAGTCCAATGCTGCAAAGAACAATACTGCATAGGAACCTGGAATGTAAGATCTATGAATCAAGGTAAGCTTGACGTGGTCAAAAATGAGATGGCAAGACCGAACATCGATATATTAGGAATCAGTGAACTGAAGTGGACAGGAATGGGCGAATTTAACTCAGACGACCATTATATCTACTACTGTGGCCAGGAATCTCATAGAAAAAATGGTGTGGCCTTTATAGTCAACAAGAGAGTGCAGGGGTCAGTACTGGGATACAATCTCAAAAATGACAGAATGATTTTGGTCCAATTCCAAGGCAAACCATTCAACATCACAGTAATCTAAGTCTATGCCCCAACCACTGATGCAGAAGAGGCTGAAGTGGACCGGTTCTATGAAGACCTACAACACCTCATAGAACTAACACCAAAAAATGATGTCCTCATCATCATAGGGGACTGGAATGCTAAAG